GCGAAGGCATGAGGAGAATAACTGGACAGGGGTCAGCTATCCGGCTGCATTTTAAGGAGACTCTTTTTTCGTTTCCTCAGAAAAGGTAAAGATTTTTTTCCCCATGGTAACATGACGTTATCATTTCTTCTTTAATCTTTAAATTTGTTATCACTTATTCTTTTTCTTTGGATTTCTTATTGTTTGTTATTTTTTATTTGGATTCATTATCCTCTGTTCCTTTATCTTTGGATTTTCAAAATCATTTGTTCTTTTGTCTTTAGAGTTGTAATTATTTGTTCTATTCAGTAAGTTTAGCTTATGATGCTTAATCATGTATCTAGTGATATCTTTTCAGCCGCAGAATATATTCCTAATGGGCAGTGACCTCCATGTGAAAATTGGTGATTTTGGCCTCAGCAAAAGTGTGAACGGTAGTGACAGCATCTGCTCATCCCCTACAGTTGAAGGTCAGTATGTGTTTATAGATTTTGTTGATTTCTGCACATACCTGTGTGCCCGCAAAGTAAGCGATTAGAAGCAGCAAATTCATACAACACTGTACTACCAGTGCCAAACTTGGACATTATCAAAAATTCATCACATGACATCAACACTTGTGAGATAAGATGACCTTAGGAAGCTGCCATTTTGACCAACACCAAGGAAGAAGAAGTATTGTCGCACGGATTGTGGGAATAACACCTTTTGTTAGATACAAGAAAAACAAACATATCATTAGCGCCATTACAAGCATAAGTCCAGTTGTGCTTTCAACTGTTTTGATATAAATAAAAATGGTTTTCATTTTTTAAAAAAAAATGTAAATATTTCCTTTGTATGGAAAGTTATGGACACCCTGCAGGCAGAAGATCAAATGGTTTGGGCATCTTTTTGAATGCAGCAGCACTGGTCGCTATCCGACACCAATACTATCTGTGTTAGGTAAGCTGATGATTGTTTTTGTGATGGTTTATGGGGTCAGTTTTAATGTTATCTTTGTTTATAAACTCAGGAATTCCTGTTGATTTTAACACAACCACACGTGTTATAGGGAGTAAGATGTACGGTTCCCCTGAACTACTTAGCGGACAGAAATGTGACACAAAGGTGAGATTTTCCTAATTAGACATCTTGAAGTGTATGTTCCATATTTTGAATATTACATGTATATCTCAGTAAACAATAACAAACACACAGAACTTATTCAACTTATGGGATAAGCATGTTGTGAGACACAAAAGGTGAAGAAAATGAGGAAAAGGAAATATCATCAGAAGAGATGGGCTTGTAACAGCAGATGATGGGCAAAAGTATAATAGAAATTGAGAATAGAATAGAAATGGCCAACAATATTTTCAACAAATTGTAGCAGTTATTAATATCGAGAGAGATAAACAATGCATGAAAATGGACAATTGTCAAATGTTAAGTCAACCTTACTGTATGGTGCAGATTCCTAGACAGTGAACAAGCAATTAAAAAATTGAACCAGCCCTCTGGAGATGGGGTGTTGAGAAGAATAGGTTATAATAAATGGAAACTATTCAACACAAATTATACAAAAGTTATGGAACGACTGAATGAAAAAAAAGTTGCTGAAAAAAATAAAACAGAGACAGGTGAAATATCTTGACCTCATTAAAAGACGTGGCACTCTTTTAAGAAACCATACTGTAGGGAAAAGTTGAATTCCAGTGAGCAAAAGATGGACAGTGATACAAGTGTGAGGATAACACCAAGGTATGAATGAACAGCAGTGTAAAACCAGGAAGGAAAGAGCATGCTGGAGATCTATTGCAGTGAATCTTCATGATGAAGTTGGCATCTGATTGACTGAAAAGAAAGGGGGGGGGGGAGAAGTTGATGAGACAGTGGGTGTGGAAGCAGACAGAAAAAGACAGAGGTTGAGGGATGTGTGAGAGATAGAGAGACAGAAGAAGGATTTTAAAGTTTACCTATGCAAACTTCTGACTGGCTGACTGACTGAATTTTTACCCCACCAGGACATCACGCAAGCGATAAACACCCGATGTCACAAAGTGCCACCATGTGGATGAGGATCACCGTGGAGAGGTCCCAGAAACCGCACTCAGACAATTGGCCTTATTTATGGCCTGCCTAAATTGCGGCCCCTGGAAAAAGCCAGAGAGGGGCTTCAAATAACAAAACATTACGTCCTAAAAAGGACGTTCTCACTGGCTGGACTTTCTTCTTTAAATATCCTCCCATTCGTCTTTGTTGCGTTCAACCACTTCTAATAGGACCATGGAGATAGACCTGTCACAGGGGCACTTACATGGCTGGTGGAAAAGAAAGCAGCTCACACATTGATAGTGGCAGACTCAATTTAAAAAGATCCTGACTGGCAAATTCTGACAAGAATGGGTTGACAGCATCCAGAGGTCCCGTCTCAAGAAAATATCTTGGCTGTACACACCAGTAAACCTTGGGATGGAAGGAAATGAAAAAGCCAACAGACTTGCTGGGTCTGCCGTGGCTAATGGAGGAGAAAGTATGGACAGGGCACATATAGTGAATGCGCTGTGTTCCAGAGATGTTGAGTCAAATGAGTCAGAGATGATGAACCACCTGTTGGAGATAAGGGTATAAAACAAAGACAAGCATACAGAAACCAGTTGCAAGGTCCAGAAGGATGATATGGCAGTCAACTCCTTCTCGGAGACACTGAGATGGCTGCTGCATCAGAGAAGGAAGATATGACAGTCAACTCCTTCTGGGAGACACTGAGATGGCTGCTGCATCAGAGAAGGAAGATATGACAGTCAACTCCTTCTGGGAGACACTAAGATGGCTGCTGCATCAGAGAAGGAAGATATGACAGTCAACTCCTTCTGGGAGACACTGAGATGGCTGCTGCATCAAAAAAGGAAGATATGGCAGTCAACTCCTTCTGGGAGACACTGAGATGGCTGCTGCATCAGAGAAGGAAGACATGACAGTCAACTCCTACTGGGTACGATCAGCATGGAGACACTGAGATGGCTGCTGCATCAGAGAAGGAAGACATGACAGTCAACTCCTTCTGGGAGACACTAAGATGGCTGCTGCATCAGAGAAGGAAGACATGACAGTCAACTCCTACTGGGTACGGTCAGCATGGAGACACTGAGATGGCTGCTGCATCAGAGAAGGAAGATATGGCAGTCAACTCCTTCTGGGAGACACTAAGATGGCTGCTGCATCAGAGAAGGGAGATATGACAGTCAACTCCTTCTGGGAGACACTAAGATGGCTGCTGCATCAGAGAAGGATGATATGGCAGTCAACTCCTTCTGGGAGACACTGAGATGGCTGCTGCATCAGAGAAGGGAGATATGACAGTCAACTCCTTCTGGGAGACACTAAGATTTCTGCTGCATCAGAGAAGGAAGATATGACAGTCAACTCCTTCTGGGAGACACTAAGATGGCTGCTGCATCAGAGAAGGATGATATGGCAGTCAACTCCTTCTGGGAGACACTGAGATGGCTGCTGCATCAGAGAAGGAAGACATGACAGTCAACTTCTACTGGGTACGGTCAGCATGGAGACACTGATATGGCTGCTGCATCAGAGAAGGAAGACATGACAGTCAACTCCTACTGGGTACGGTCAGCATGGAGACACTGAGATGGCTGCTGCATCAGAGAGTGGTGCATGAATGGGTAGGACCAATGTGCTAGGATGTAGAAATGGTGCAATGGGTTTGTCCTACTCCCCCCCCCCCTTTTCCACCACACAGTGATAGGTTTGTCCCATCCTCCACCCCACATAACCTACACAGTGAGGGGTTTGTCCTATCTCCCCCACATAACCCACACAATGATGGGTTTGTCCCATTCCCCCCTCCACCCAATATAACCCACAGTATGGGGTTTGTCCTATCTCCCCCACCCCACATAACCCACACAGTGATGGGTTTGTCCCATTACCCCCTTCCACCTAACATAACCCACACAGTAAGGGGTTTGTCCTATCTCCCCCGCCTTACATAACCCACACAGTAATGGGTTTGTCCCATCCCTACTCCACCTCACATAACTTACACATGAGGGGTTTGTCGTATCTCCCCCACCCCACATAACCCACACAGTAACACTTATAAGAATCCTTGTCAGTTAGCAGTTTGAATTCATGACTGTTAGGCATATGTTAACTGGTGCATTTGTTGCAGCTTTTGCTTGTAGTAATACAAATGTTCAAAGTTCATGTGAGGGTCTCTGTTGTCATTTACTTCAGTGTGACATATACAGCCTGGGAATTCTGCTGTTTGAAATGTGTAGCATCTTCACTACTGGAATGGAGAGATTCGAAACCCTTAGTGAGCTGCGAGATAAAAACCGCTGTTCTGGAAAGTTAAGGAGGATATGGTCGGAATTGAAGGTTTGGCTTAATTTATTTTATATTCTTCCTCTTCTTCTTCTTCTTCATACTCTTCTTCTTTCTTTTCTTATTCTTCTACATTTAAGAATTCTGAGCCTTTGAGGTTCATTGCTGGAGATACACCCCCTTTGATTCATCTTTGTGATTAACTTTCTCTGTCCATTTGGTGACTCCAAGTGTTTGTAGGTCTGCCTGTCTGTTATTCTCCACCATCTTCTTGGTCTGCCTCATGGTCTTCTCGCATTCAACTCTTTTTTTTAAATTAAATTTTTTTTTTTTATTGTATAAAGAGACTTTTAGCTTCAATGTTACAGAAAAGTATAGAATATATATACAGAACGCAGCTATGTGGGTCATTCTGGGTTGCACCAGAGACACTCCAGTGGTGTGTATGCAATACATCTATGGTTTGCCGACTGTTGCAGGTAGGCACAAGGTGCTGCAGGCGAAGTAATATATCTGAGGGTAGCTGCAGACACAGACCACCCTTTGCACGAAGCTCTGGGTGCAGTTAAGGGTCAGCAGCTGATAAGAGGGAAGTCATAGATAGCTCAGGCAGAAGACACAATCAGACAGGTTTGCATCCTTGAGAACATTAGGCGAGGGGTAAGTCAAAGTGCCACCTGAACAGTCAGACTTGTGTAGGGTCATAATCACGCTGAGCTGGGAATGCAGAGATTGGTCAACAGGTGCCAAGGAGGTGGAAATTCAGCAATTAATTCAAGATTTGATCATTTACACAGATGGTTCAGAGTAAGAGGCGAAAGAAGTGCTTGGGGTTTCTTTAGCAAAAGTTATTGGTCAATGTTTGGTGCAGGAGAGCCTAGCATATGATACCACAACATCCAGCTTAAGAATAGAGGTGGAGGCGGTCACTGTAGCTTTCCGTTGGTTAGAGAACACAACACACACACACATCCTGATTGTAACACTCAGAAAGCATGCTGGGGAAGATCAGGACAGGCATGCTTCATGCAGAGTGGTATGCCTCGCTGCGGAGGACACAGGTGAGGCGTATTGTCTGGATTTTTTGCACAACTTGGTGGAATACTGCTACATGATAGGGCAGACGTGGTTAGTGCCTTGTGGGAGAGCGTGTACAATTCGGAGGAGCAGATGGAACACCACAGTCTGGTGAGATTGATGCAAAGGGGGGGGGGTGATGAAAGGTTCTGGCAGATGCTTGAGGCTCAGAGGAAAGTCAAGACGGGTGTTTAATCAGAATGCTACTGGCATCATTAGTATCGGAACTCTTCGCTGGCTGCTGAAAATGGGGATGGAGCACTTATGGGAATGTCTTAAGTGCTGTGATGTCTGTTCTTGAATCTTCTTCTTCTTCGCGTTCACCAGCTGTACACTCTGGCGGAAAGTTCTGGTTGCTCGTCCACTACTGAACTGCTGTCCTGCTCCAGAACCTGAGTGTTGCGTGTGCATCAGTTTTACAGATCTCATTCTCTTGAATACAGACTGTTGGTTCCTTGCCTCTCCAGCAGATGCACTCCGACTTCAAAGGAAGCTCCCGAATTAGTCGACTCTTACGACATGCTTTTGGGGAGGCAGTGGGTCTATTCTTGTTCTCCCCACAATGGGACCCCGGAACCCACACGGGGGTACTGTTCTTGAATCAAATCAAATCAAAATCAAATCCTATGATATACTGTTTAATCCTTTGGTGTAGTTCTCTCAAACCATCTATTGCCAGCATTGTTTTTATTGTCATAAGCTGATTTTTTGCTGGTCATATATTCATTATAATGAGTCCTTGAGAGTTTTGCTGGTTGGCCCCAGTCCCTCTTTCTGGCGCCATGCATTCTTTTACTATTCTTCCCAATCTGTTGTAACACTTGATATGGCCAAAATATTTCAGTTTCTGAGACAAAATGCTGTTAAATAACCAAGCTTCCTTGATGTTCAAATCTTGTCGGATGTCAGTATTTATGTTCTTCTTGGTGCATGGTATAATTAGAATCTATAGAATTTCAGCTCAAAAGCCCCTGTTTTCTTCCTTAAGGACTAGAAGATAGTCCACGACTCACATCCGTATGTTGCTACGGGGAAGATGCATGCTCCCAAAATGTTCACTTTGATTTTCTTTCTGGTGCTTAGCCATAGACTTTTAATGTTGTTTTATACAGAAAACCAGATCATTATTGTATTGTTATTTCCTATAGGGGTTCCACGGCTCACATTTTTTTCTTGGGGTAAGTGGGGATAAGGGGGAAAGGGTGGGGGGGGGGGGAACACCTCCACTGCCCCCTAATAAACATGTCCTAAAAAGCAACTAATTGAAGTTTTGCTGAAAACAGATTTTTGGGAGCTTAAAGGTGCAGATATCACTGGATACACACGCTAGATTTTCCCCCCAAGATTTGCTTCATCACTTCTCTATAGAGGGACAGTGTTTTATATTCAGACTAAGGACTGGGCACAACAGATTTCGTCAATATATGTTCAAATTTTTCAGTGTAGGAAACACAGAAACGTGTCCCTGCAGCGTGACACCCAAAAATGCTGAACATGTGCTCCAACACTGTCAACTGTACGCTGACAACAGACACGCAATCTGGCCTGTTCCAACCACAGTGAAGACAAAACTGTGTGGTACATGAGCAGATATGGACTGGACGATAGCTTTCATAAAGGCTACCGGCCTCCTGATAAAAGTTTTCTGACAGAAGGATCGAAGAAGAAGAAGACAGACTAACTGTGAACTGCAACACAGTGTGCCAGCCGCCCTTTTAAGGGAGAAAGCAGAATGAGAACAATTGTTTATGAATGTGAAAGAAGTGGGTAATTGACTTGTGGTGTAGGTAGACACTATCAGATTTCCCTTACAAAAGAATGACCTTTGTCCATCACTTCAGATCCAACTTATTGAAGAACTCATCAACCCTGTGGCTGAACTCAGACCAACTGCCGAGGAAGTTCTCAAGAATCCATTGTTTGACCCAGAGCGTCAGGTAAATTTGTCTTAACACAACTTGAGGACTACTAATCTAATATTTTTCCTTCGTATAACATAGACAGAGCCATGCTGCAAAAAAAAAAAAAAAAAAAAGAATGATTAAACATTACATTACAAGAACAGCGGTTTGCAAATGAGGTTTTAAAATATCGTAGGATACATTAATTGCTATCCCTATTCCCAAAGAATTAAGATATGATTATGATATAATATGATTATTACAATTATTTAAAAAATAAATGCAAAATATTTCAACTCTTTCACCCTGACAACCCCAGAAATAAAACATTACCAAGGTTTTCCCGAAATAAATATTCCTAAAACAAACATCAATTTTACACGTCATAAAGGGAAAAAAAAGGAAGAAAATAAATAAATTTACAGACAAAAAAAAAAAAAAAAAAAAAAAAAAAAAAAAAAACAGGATATAAGGGAGAAACTGTTTAGGGTCTGTGTGGCTGTGGGATGACTGTAGGTGATGATAGTAAATGATGGACCAGTACTTGGATGACCACTTAGTAAATGCACATTCAACAGCCCGCGGGAGTTCCCGACTAGGATAGTGCCGTGGACGAGTGAGGACGACTGGACGGAAGGACTGAACAAAGAGCTTCCAATGAGTGCGCTGAGAGACTTGGAAGAAGACTTGTAGTGTTTTGACCATTAAATGTCTGCATAATTGATTTAAGTTAGCAATGGTTAGTTTGTGATAACATACTAGATTGACAGTGTTTGTTATACTTTAAGTGTTATAGAGCGATAGATCTTTGTGTTCAGTTATAGTGGTTTTACTCAGGTATTTAGCTGAGTTAGCGATTTGGTTCGCGAAATGGGTTTATTAGTAAAGAAGAAAACAGGAATGAGTTCATGGGCCCAGGACCCGGGTGACTGTGTGCATTGATGTGGTCTGTCTGAACACACAAGCCAGAGCTGTGCAGTAGCGCAGCAGTCACACTGTGCAGTAGCGCAGCAGTCACACTGTGCAGTAGCGCAGCAGTCACACTGTGCAGTAGCGCAGCAGTCACACTGTGCAGTAGCGCAGCAGTCACACTGTGCAGTAGCGCAGCAGTCACACTGTGCAGTAGCGCAGCAGTCACACTGTGCAGTAGCGCAGCAGTCACACTGTGCAGTAGCGCAGCAGTCACACTGTGCAGTAGCGCAGCAGTCACACTGTGCAGTAGCGCAGCAGTCACACTGTGCAGTAGCGCAGCAGTCACACTGTGCAGTAGCGCAGCAGTCACACTGTGCAGTAGCGCAGCAGTCACACTGTGCAGTAGCGCAGCAGTCACACTGTGCAGTAGCGCAGCAGTCACACTGTGCAGTAGCGCAGCAGTCACACTGTGCAGTAGCGCAGCAGTCACACTGTGCAGTAGCGCAGCAGTCACACTGTGCAGTAGCGCAGCAGTCACACTGTGCAGTAGCGCAGCAGTCACACTGTGCAGTAGCGCAGCAGTCACACTGTGCAGTAGCGCAGCAGTCACACTGTGCAGTAGCGCAGCAGTCACACTGTGCAGTAGCGCAGCAGTCACACTGTGCAGAAGTGTAGGAAGGAGCTTGGATCGGAGGCTGTTGGTTTAGACCTGGTTAATGCCTGGAGGGACTTGAAGGCCAATGTGTGTATGGCGATTTTAAAGCACTTCGACCGATCGGGGTAGGGCTAGCGAGCCACCTGTGGGGCTACCTATGGATTGCTTGTTGTAAATTATATTGAGGGTAATGTGTATGCTGTGTTGGTGTTTAGTTAGTTGTGTTTTAGGCTAGACATTTCTGTCGGCGAGCTGCCAACGATCTACTTTTCTTGATGGCAATATGGAGGTCTTTGACAGTAACCAGTAAAAAACAGATGCAGCAGAAAATTAACAAATTAATATATGTTTGCATAGTCTGTGCATGATTAAACAACCAAAAGTAGTTGATCCACATAAATATCCATTATTGAAAAAAAAACTATATGTCCCAGTTATAACCCAGATGGTTGAACAGGATATTGTTGTATAAACTATTACAACTTGAGGGCCATGGTGGTGTAGTATATAGTGGTGAGGCCTGTCATTATGATGGTTTGGTTTCAGTCCTCAAAGAAGGAGTCTTTGCTTTTGATCTCATACTTTGTAAGATGCTCTTGTCTTGAAGACTAGTAGTGGTTTACACTGGAAGATTTACTGAGGCGGGGATGTGAGCATTTATGGACTGAACAGTTCGATGTGCAGTGAGAATGATTTGTTGACTCAGTAACCAGTTTACTATTTAGGATATTTTTGTTTTGCAGACTTTGCAACAGACTTCATTGCTACAGAACCAGCAAGTCAAAATACAAGTAAAAAAAGATGAGAATCCTTACCAGAAAGGTCAGGAGCGAGACCAGAAATCCAAGGAGCAAGTGCAGGCAGATGTTGAACTGCCGCGAGAAGCATCTGCAGATGCCCAGTTGATGGGCTTTGCAAATAAGAAGAAGAAGTGAAAATAAACAACTACTGTGTTTCTTCGGAAATAAGAATGGGTCTTATACTAACTTTTGTTTAAAAAGATGCACTAGGTCTTTTTTTTTTGGGGGGGGGGGGGGGGGGGCCCTATGTTTTCCAAATACAAAAATCTGTATTCATGTACACATTTCTACATTTATTCATGTACACATTTCTACATTTATTCATGTACACATTTCTACATTTATTCATGTACACATTTCTACATTTATTCATTTACAGTCATGTCCTCTTCTTCTGGAACAACGTCATAACTTTCCTAATTCAGGCTTGAGTTTCTTGCGACTTCATGTCCTGTAGAACTATTGGCCCCGGTCTCTCATGTCCAGCAGAGAAGCTTTCCCTAAATGATCATTTAATATTCAAATATGCAACGGTCGCCTCTGTACTCCAACTGTCTCTTATTCTATTCAATGATCTTAACTAGGGATTTTAAGGGGCAGAGCTTATATTATGAAAAGAAGAAGACTGGAGTGCATAGTGACAGTAGGAAAGTTGGAGGAGAGGCAGAGGGAGGCCAAGAGAAAAGATGCTAGACAGTTTGTCCTCATGACAGGTGTTAGAGTGATTGAATGTACACGAGAAGAATAGACATGACTACCAATGCCACATGGCATTGACTTTAAGAAGAAGAAGGGCTTATATAAAAAGCATACTAAAAATCGTGATATAACTTATTTTTATGTTTGTACATATTAAAAGCATCCTGAGTAATTGTGCTAGAGCTTATTTTTACGTATACATAGATGGATGGATGTATGAGAAAGCCGATGTTTACTGATATACCATT